TCCAGCCCATACTTCTTTAACTTGCTGACAAGAATACTGTGGGAGACCGTGTCAAAAGCTTTGCTAAAGTCAAGGAATAACACGTCCACTGCTTTCCCTTCATCCACAGAACCAGTTATCTCATCATAGAAGGCAATTAGATTAGTCAGGCATGACTTGCCCTTGGTGAATCCATGCTGACTGTTCCTGATCACTTTCCTCTTGTCTAAGTGCTTCAGAATTTGATTCCTTGAGGACATGCTCCATGATTTTTCCGGGGACTGAGGTGAGGCTGACCAGCCTGTAGTTCCAGGTTCATCCTTCTTCCCTTTTTTAAAGATGGGCACTACATTAGCCTTTTTCCAGTCATCTGGGACCTCCTGCAATCGCCATGAGTTTTCAAAGATAATGGCCAATGGCTCTGCAATCACATCCGCCAATTCCTTTAGCACTCTCGGCCCCATGGACTTGTGTACGTCCAGTTTTTCTAAATAGTCCCGAACCACTTCTTTCTCCACAGAGGGCTGGTCGCCTCCTCCCCATGCTGTGTTGCCCAGTGCAGTAGTCTGGGAGCTGACCTTGTTCATGAAGAGAGAGGCAAAAAAAGCACTGAATACATTAGCTTTTCCACATCCTCTGTCACTAGGTTGCCTCCCTCATTCAGTAAGGGTCCCACACTTTTCCTGACCTTCTTCTTATTGCCAACATACCTGAAGAAACCCTTCTTGTTACTCTTAACATCCCTCGTTAGCTGCAACTCCAGGTGTGATTTAGCCTTCCTGATTCCAGGGTAGTGCAGGGTACTGTTTCCCTGCATGACAGCACGCAGTGCCTCTCATGGTCAGGACACTGAAATTCACCAGGATATGGATCTCAAGAACTCATGTGCCAGGGATCCAAATTGTAACTGTTCACACTGCCATAGGCCAGATTGTACCCGCCTCCGCCATGTCCCTTTAATGAGAGCGCTCACTGCAGGGAAGTTGGCACCTCTCATCCAAAGAGCCCTGAGTGGAAAGAGGGGACAGAGAAGAAGAAGGAAGCACCTCTTCCAAAGACTCATGCTGGCAAAGTAAGATCAGCAGCATTTCCCAGAAGCTGCTCCGGCTCTGTGGATAAGTAGAGCATCAAAGTAACCTCTTTGAATGTTCACTGCCATTATCACCCTTGGGAAGTCTCCTTCTGTCTCCAAGCCAAATAGGGCAGCCAAATTCCTTCTTTCAACACTTGTGAGTCCAGGCCAATAAGCTCTTGCTCATTACACCTTCCTATGGCCACCACTGGTTAGAAAAAGCCAGTCTTGTAGGATGGGCCAGGCAATGTTCCTGGAAGACATCAGCCATAAAGGAACTTTACCTTTCCAACAGATCCTGGAGAAATTCTACACTTGCAAACCATTCTGTTTTCTGTTTGTAATGCTGCAAATCCCCTGTATTGACAAAATGTCTGGGAGAAGCATGGAGAAGCAGCAATTTGAAGCCCAGACACAGAAAAATCCCTGAATCAGATTCTCTGCTTTCCTGGTGTGCAGCCGGCAGTGGGTTGGTTCAAGGAGCTGGTTACAATTCCCTGATTTTCACACTGCCCACTCACTGGACTGCCACCTGGGCATGGCCATAGCAAAGCATGCTCTGTCTCCTCCTCCTCCACTCCCCACTGCCTTCAGTGGAGGGGGGGGGGGCGGGGAGGCTGCAAGGTGTTGTAGGAGCCAGCTGGAGATTCCACCACCCGAGGACAATCCCCAGCAAGGGGGATGTGGCCAGTCTCTGTTCCCTTGTGTCACCTGAATGGAGCACCATAGAGAACCTGCCCCTGTGAGAGCAAATGAATAGGAGTATCTGGCGTCTCTGCTAAAGCCAGATGGCAAATGGAATGGAGATGGAGAAATGTATCTCTGCTGGCTGGACACTAACCCAACATGACCTCCCTGGAAAGGAGAAACTCCCCAGAGTGCAGTTTCCAACGTTCTAGGCACTGCAACTATGACTTAGACGCAAACTGAGACTTGCCCCTCTGTCTTGATTATAACAATGGTTCTGTTTTTAGAAGACAGACACATTTCCCCTCCTATCCCACCACTCACTGGCCCAATGATCCCCAAACCACTCATCCTCCCGACAGCCAGATCCAGCCTGCCCAGGCTTCCCACCAGACGATCCTTAAATGAACAATCCCTCCAGCCTGGGATCCCAGCAGTAATTCCCTGCCGTATAGACTGTCCCAGCCACTACCACTGCTCCCAGGCCTCAAGCAATCAGGAGAGAGCTGCACAAGCCCATACCCCTGGCTTCTATTCCAGAGGGAGGTGCTGAGACTAGAGGGGAGGTTTTCTCACATTCAGTGCATTGATGGGGTTTCCCCTCCAGCAGACACTGATCCCTCTGCATTTCCTGGAACAACTTTCACTGTGAGTAGATCTTCCCCCTCTTTTCCAGGTGGCTTTTCCAGTGCCTGTTTTCCACAGCTAGACCCCAGGGAAACCTTCCCTTTGGATCTTCCTGCTCAATCCAACATGGTCTGATTCCCGCAGGCCCCCTGTGGCCAGGATTCTCTTCCTTGCTTTCACTCACCATCCCATCTTCTGCTGTAACAGGAAGAGACTTCAGCCGTAATGAATCCCCTGTGCTGGGGGGAAAGGTAGTCTGGAAAGAGGAACAACAAAGGGCCTCTTCTTAGCGGGTTATAAGGCTTTCTACCCAGAATCCCTATCACCAGAGGAGGACCCTCTAGGTTTCAGAATCCCCATCTGAATGTTCACAGAAAAGGTGAGTCAGAGGAGAGTATCCGTCCAGAAATCAGTCAGTATTGGGGGAAGCCAGGAGTGACGTCCGCCATGAGCACATGGGAATTGCCAGTTGCCGCACCAGACAAGAGACCCCTTCCTCCTTGCGTGCCTATCCCATGCACATGCCGCCATGAGAATCCTCCACCCACACACGTTTCCCGTGGGAGAGGTCCACCCTCCCATTATTGCTCACATGGGCTCACCCAAGCACATTCCCCTCAGACATTGTTCTCACACTTTTCCATGAACACCCTGCAGGAGACAGCCCTACCTGCTTTCCCCTTGTGAGACAAGGGGATCCACATGCATGGTTTCCCCTCCCAGAGAAATTATTCCTCCCCTGAAACATCCACTGTGCTGTGCCTTCCCCATGAGGCACCTACACTTCTTACACACTCCCCCACACGAGACACTGAGTCTCAAAGGCATTGCCCCTTACGATTCACCTACTCCATCTGGGCCTCTCACACATCTATCCCCACACCACACAATCCATTGTGCCAGGGTGCCCCTGAGGTGCCCACCTCTGTATGCATGCTCCCCCCATGCCATGCCTGGCCCAACTTACCTGCGTCAGTACACAAAACCCTTCCCATAATGCATACCCTTCCATGAGATACATGCTCCAATGCCCATTCTCCCATGAGATGTCTGCTCCCACACACTCACTCCACCCATGGTGGCTCATGCAACACTCATCCCCAAATGTAAACTTTCCCTATAATAAATGTACCCTCCTATGCATACTCTGTTGTTGGAGACCTGTTTCCCCTACCCAGGCTTACCCTATGGGATGTCTGCCCTGTATACACACTCTCCCATTAGATATCTGCCCCTATATGCACTCCTGTATGAATGTTCCCCATGGAACAACCACTCCTGTATGTACTTTGCTTTCTACAAACTCTCTCTCCCTACACAGGCTTTCTTCCATGCTAACCAAGTCTGGAAACATATTCTATATTGATGCTCTTTGGGGGCAGAGGCTGTCTTTTTTTATTCTGTGCTTGTACAGTACCTAGCACAATTGGGTCCTGCTCCATGACTGGGGCTCCCAGGAGCTATGGCAATACAAATAATATACAATTCTCAAAGAAGATTCAAGCAACACATCGGTGGTAAACGGATGTCATGAAATACGTAAGGTGGTGTATGTTAGTTGTTTGCTTTAACCTATAAATGTTGGGGTACTTCACCTTAGTTCTTTGTTCGGCCGAGGGGGCAGCAGAAAGTCCCGCCACGAACTGAGCTGTTCCTTGCCACAGGATACTCATGTGTTAGCACATCTGTAACCATGGAGCCAGGGTGGTAGGACTGTGTTTTGACGCCAATAAACCTTGCTGAGTGCCTTTGTCACTGAACCGTGTCCGTGGTCCTTCTTTATGAGAAACAGTGAGGCCCGCTGAATGTGCAGGCTGCCTTATCTGCTCCAAGAACCGAAGCACTGGACGCCCTGAATGGCATTACTAAGGCAACGACATTCTAGCCTCAGTACTTCACCACACAGGGTAATACTCCCGAGGCCTGCTGAACCAGCTATCTGTACAGAGCTGGACAGTACGTTAAAAGAACACAGACAAGCCAAATGCCAACACCGGCTATTTGTAAGTAGAAAGTGCTTGCTGAGCAGAGAGCACATCTAAAAATCAATACAATCACCCAGTATCTTTGCTTTGAGAGAAATCATCATTAAATATATTATTTGTTGCTATTTCCTTCTCTACCTGCTTAACTGTGGCAGGATCATGCACAGCTTTCAAACAATGGCAATTTCTTAAATATTTGGAAGTTGGGTAACAAGATGATCACAAATGGCCCGTTCTGGCTTTATGATTACAACTCTTACAGTCTATTAACATTTTAAGTAAAATTTTTTATAAGATCCTTAGTCCCACTGAAAATCAATGAGATGTAGATGCCTTTACTCAGTGCCCTGGTCTACACTAGGACTTTAGGTCGAATTTAGCAGCGTTAAATCGATGTAAACCTGCACCCGTCCACACAATGAAGCCCTTTATTTCGACTTAAAGGGCTCTTAAAATCGATTTCCTTACTCCACCCCTGACAAGTGGATTAGCGCTTAAATCGACGTTGCCGGCTCGAATTTGGGGTACTATGGACACAATTCGATGGTATTGGCCTCCGGGAGCTATCCCAGAGTGCTCCATTATGACCGCTCTGGACAGCACTCTCAACTCAGATGTACTGGCCAGGTAGACAGGAAAAGGCCCGCAAACTTTTGAATCTCATTTCCTGTTTGGCCAGTGTGGCAAGCTGCAGGTGACCATGCAGAGCTCATCAGCACAGGTGACCATGATGGAGTCCCAGAATCGCAAAAGAGCTCCAGCATGGACCGAACGGGAGGTACGGGATCTGATTGCTGTTTGGGGAGAGGAATCCGTGCTATCAGAACTCCGTTCCAGTTTTCGAAATGCCAAAACCTTTGTCAAAATCTCCCAGGGCATGAAGGACAGAGGCCATAACAGGGACCCGAAGCAGTGCCGCGTGAAACTGAAGGAGCTGAGGCAAGCCTACCAGAAAACCAGAGAGGCGAACAGCCGCTCTGGGTCAGAGCCCCAAACATGCCGCTTCTATGATGAGCTGCATGCCATTTTAGGGGGTTCAGCCACCACTACCCCAGCCGTGTTGTTTGACTCCTTCAATGGAGATGGAGGCAATACGGAAGCAGGTTTTGGGGACGAAGAAGATGATGATGATGATGAGGTTGTAGATAGCTCACAGCAAGCAAGCGGAGAAACCGGTTTTCCCGACAGCCAGGAACTGTTTCTCACCCTAGACCTGGAGCCAGTACCCCCCGAACCCACCCAAGGCTGCCTCCTGGACCCAGCAGGCGGAGAAGGGACCTCTGGTGAGTGTACCTTTTAAAATACTGTACATGGTTTAAAAGCAAGCATGTGAAAGGATTACTTTGCCCTGGCATTTGCGGTTCTCCTAGATGTAGTCCTAAAGCCTTTGCAAAAGGTTTCTGGGGAGGGCAGCCTTATTGCGTCCTTCATGGTAGGACACTTTACCACTCCAGGCCAGTAACACGTACTCGGGAATCATTGTAGAACAAAGCATTGCAGTGTATGTTTGCTGGCATTCAAACAACATCCGTTCTTTATCTCTCTGTGTTATCCTCAGGAGAGTGAGATATAATTCATATCTCACTTCATATCTCACCTGGTTGAAATAGAGTGCTTTTCTTCAGGGGACACTCAGAGGAGCCCATTCCTGCTGGGCTGTTTACCTGTGGCTAAACAGAAATGTTCCCCGCTGTTAGCCACAGGGAGGGGGGAAGGTTGAGGGGGTAGTCACGCGGTGGGAGGAGGCAAAATGCGACCTTGTAACGAAAGCACATGTGCTATGTATGTAATGTTAACAGCAAGGTTTACCCTGAAAGAGTGTAGCCACTGTTTTATAAAATGTGTCTTTTTAAATACCGCTGTCCCTTTTTTTTTCTCCACCAGCTGCATGTGTTTCAATGATCACAGGATCTTCTCCTTCCCAGAGGCTAGTGAAGCTTAGAAAGAAAAAAAAACGCACTCGCGATGAAATGTTCTCCGAGCTCATGCTGTCCTCCCACACTGACAGAGCACAGACGAATGCGTGGAGGCAAATAATGTCAGAGTGCAGGAAAGCACAAAATGACCGGGAGGAGAGGTGGCAGGCTGAAGAAAGTAAGTGGCGGGCTGAAGAGAGTAAGTGGCGGGCTGAAGACAGGGCTGAAGCTCAAATGTGGCGGCAACGTGATGAGAGGAGGCAGGATTCAATGCTGAGGCTGCTGCAGGACCAAACCAGTATGCTCCAGTGTATGGTTGAGCTGCAGCAAAGGCAGCTGGAGCACAGACTGCCACTGCAGCCCCTCTGTAACCAACTGCCCTCCTCCCCAAGTTCCATAGCCTCCACATCCAGACGCCCAAGAACGCGGTGGGGGGGCCTCCGGCCAACCAGCCACTCCAGCACAGAGGATTGCCCAAAAAAAAGAAGGCTGTCATTCAATAAATTTTAAAGTTGTAAACTTTTAAAGTGCTGTGCTTAAAGTGCTGTGTGGCATTTTCCTTCCCTCCTCCAACACCCCTCCTGGGCTACCTTGGTAGTCATCCCCCTATTTGTGTGATGAATGAATAAAGAATGCATGAATGTGAAGCAACAATGACTTTATTGCCTCTGCAAGCGGTGATTGAAGGGAGGAGGGGCGGGTGGTTAGCTTACAGGGAAGTAGAGTGAACCAAGGGGCGGGGGGTTTCATCAAGGAGAAACAAACAGAACTTTCACACCGTAGCCTGGCCAGTCATGAAACTGGTTTTCAAAGCTTCTCTGATGCGTACCGTGCCCTCCTGTGCTCTTCTAACCGCCCTGGTGTCTGGCTGCGCGTAACCAGCAGCCAGGCGATTTGCCTCAACCTCCCACCCTGCCATAAACGTCTCCCCCTTACTCTCACAGATATTGTGGAGCACACAGCAAGCAGTAATAACAGTGGGAATATTGGTTTCGCTGAGGTCTAAGCGAGTCAGTAAACTGCGCCAGCGCGCCTTTAAACGTCCAAATGCACATTCTACCACCATTCTGCACTTGCTCAGCCTGTAGTTGAACAGCTCTTGACTACTGTCCAGGCTGCCTGTGTACGGCTTCATGAGCCATGGCATTAAGGGGTAGGCTGGGTCCCCAAGGATACATATAGGCATTTCAACATCTCCAACAGTTATTTTCTGGTCTGGGAATAAAGTCCCTTCCTGCAGCTTTTGAAACAGACCAGAGTTCCTGAAGATGCGAGCATCATGCACCTTTCCCGGCCATCCCACGTTGATGTTGGTGAAACGTCCCTTGTGATCCACCAGTGCTTGCAGCACTATCGAAAGGTAACCCTTGCGGTTTATGTACTCGGCGGCTTGGTGCTCCGGTGCCAAGATAGGGATATGGGTTCCGTCTATAGCCCCACCACAGTTAGGGAATCCCATTGCAGCAAAGCCATCCACTGTGACCTGCACATTTCCCAGGGTCACTACCCTTGATATCAGCAGATCTTTGATTGCGTGGCCTACTTGCATCACAGCAGCCCCCACAGTAGATTTGCCCACTCCAAATTGATTCCCAACTGACCGGTAGCTGTCTGGCGTTGCAAGCTTCCACAGGGCTATCGCCACTCGCTTCTCAACTGTGAGGGCTGCTCTCATCTTGGTATTCATGCGCCTCAGGGTAGGGGAAAGCAAGTCACAAAGTTCCATGAAAGTGCCCTTACGCATGCGAAAGTTTCGCAGCCACTGGGAATCGTCCCAGACCTGCAACACTATGCGGTCCCACCAGTCTGTGCTTGTTTCCCGAGCCCAGAATCGGCGTTCCACAGCATGAACCTGCCCCATTAGCACCATGATGCATGCATTGGCAGGGCCCATGCTTTCAGAGAAATCTGTGTCCATGTCCTGATCACTCATGTGACCGCGCTGACGTCGCCTCCTCGCCCGGTATCGCTTTGCCAGGTTCTGGTGCTGCATATACTGCTGGATAATGCGTGTGGTGTTTAATGTGCTCCTAATTGCCAAAGTGAGCTGAGCGGCCTCCATGCTTGCCTTGGTATGGCGTCCGCACAGAAAAAAGGCGCGGAACGATTGTCTGCTGTTGCTCTGACGGAGGGAGGGGCGACTGACGACACGGCTTACAGGGTTGGCTTCAGGGAGCTAAAATCAACAAAGGGGGTGTCTGTACATCAAGGAGTATTTCAGGCAGGACTTCACGGAGGGTTCCAATAAGAAATGGTGCACCTAAGTTATCGTTCTTATTGGAACAAGGAGGTTAGCCTGGCCTCTGATTGATACATGGCTAGATTTACCTCGCTGCACCTTCTCTGTGAGTGACTGCAGTGTGACCTAGAGGAATGAGTCCCCTAGACAGGGGAGGAGGCAAATGAGTACAAAACAAATCTGGTCTATTTCTTGTTTTGACCCACTCCATCTATCTTTTACATCTTTGGCTGGCAGCAGACGGTGCAGAAGGACTGCATGCCATCCACATCTCATGGCTGCTCGGCAGAAGATGGTACAGTACGACTGCTAGCCATCCTCATCTCTTGCCTGCCTGGCAGAAGATGGTACAATACGACTGCTAGCAGTCCGTATCGCCTGCCCGCTCACCATAAGACGGTTCAATAGGACTGACTGCAGGACTAAAGAGAATGACCTGGTCAAGTCACTCCAAATTTAGTCCCTGCACCCATGTCTGCCCAGGCGCTCCCAGCCGATGTGGCCAGGAGCACCTCGGACACGACGAGGACGACTACCAGTCGTATTGCACCGTCTGCTGCCAGAAGGCAATGGGTTGCTGCTACTGTGCAGCAAAGCCGTACCGCGTCTGCCAGCACCCAGGAGACATAGGGTGACGGTTACCTGAGCGAGCTCCATGCTTGCTGTGGTATGGCATCTGCACAGGTAACTCAGGAAAAAAGGCGCGAAATGATTGTCTGCCCTTGCTTTCACGGAGGGAGGGAGGGAACGGGGGCCTGATGATACGTACCCAGAACCACCCGCGACAATGTTTTAGCCCCATCAGAGTGCTCCATTGTGACTGCTCTGGACAGCACTCTCAGATGCCCGATTGTTTGCCGTTGCTCTGACGCCGGGAGGGGCGACTGAGGACATGGCTTACAGGGTTGGCTTCAGGGAGCTAAAATCAACAAAGGGGGTGGCTTTACATCAAGGAGTATTTCAGGCAGGACTTCATGGAGGGTTCCAATAAGAAATGGTGCACCTAAGTTATTGTCCTTATTGGAACAAGAAGGTTAGCCTGGCCTCTGATTGATACATGGCTAGATTTACCTCGCTGCACCTTCTCTGTGAGTGACTGCAGTGTGACCTAGAAGAATGAGTCCCCTAGACAGGGGAGGGGGGGAAGCAAATGAGTACAAAACAAATCTGGTCTATTTCTTGTTTTGATCCACTCCATCTATCTTTTACATCTTTGGCTGGCAGCAGACGGTGCAGAAGGACTGCATGCCATCCACATCTCATGGCTGCTCGGCAGAAGATTACGTACAGTACGACTGCTAGCAGTCCGTATCGCCTGCCCGCTCACCATAAGACGGTTCAATAGGACTGACTGCAGGACTAAAGAGAATGACCTGGTCAAATCACTCCAAATTTAGTCCCTGCGCCCATGTCTGCCCAGGTGATCCCAGCCGAAGTGGCCAGGAGCACCTCGGACATGACGATGACGGCTACCAGTCGTACTGTACCGTCTGCTGCCACAAGGCAAGGGGTTGCTGCTACTGTGTAGCAATGCCGTACCGCGTCTGCCAGCACCCAGGAGACATAGGGTGACGGTTACCTGAGCGGGCTCCATGCTTGCTGTGGTATGGCGTCTGCACAGGTAACTCAGGAAAAAAGGCGCGAAACGATTGTCTGCCCTTGCTTTCACGGAGGGAGAGAGGGAACAGGGGCCTGACGATATGTACCCAGAACCACCCGCGACAATGTTTTAGCCCCATCAGGCATTGGGATCTCAACCCAGAATTCCAATGGGCAGCGGAGACTGCGGGAACTGTGGGATAGCTACCCACAGTGCAACGCTCCGGAAGTCGACTCTAGCCTTGGTACTGTGGAAGCGCTCCGCCGAGTTAATGCACTTAATGCACTTAGAGCATTTTCTGTGGGGACACACACACTCGAATATATAAAACCGATTTCTAAAAAACCGACTTCTATAAATTTGACCTTATTCCGTAGTGTAGACATACCCTAAGTCTTGACGACCTTCCTGTTTTAATGTTATGACATAATCTTGCTTTCCGGAATCTTATCTCGTTTGGTTTTTTTCAGTCTCCACTGTAATGGTTGCAAAGAAATTACTGACAACCTGATTAGAAAGAAACTGATGTAGCGATGTCTGGCTGAGTTTGCAGAGAGATCAAAACAATTGCTCTGGGTAGGGCGTACCATTCTATTCACCCCTCAGCAAGGGATTGGGGTTTAACTCTGAGGTCCAAATATGTTAATTTGTCAACACAGGTAACGGCTGATCAGAGTATCTAAAAATGCAGCAGGATAAACACATGGACTGTCTATGGTGAGCAGCCTCTCATTTAGGTGCCCCAAACAGGTGATACTTGTGAAGTTACCCACACTTTCCCCACAGTCTAACCTGTGGAGCCAAAAGGGAGGAGGAGTGAAAAAGAGAACAACAGTGAAAAAGAGAACTCCCAAGAGGGAGTGAATTTCAGAGCCCAGCATTGAATCTGGACCCCAAGAAGGGAAAGCCAATCCCACCAGAGCACATATGAATATGAACATCTGTACAGTCAACCACCTCACTTTGGTGTCTCAACTGGACAGAGTTTGGCTTGCAGTTTGAGTTTGGAAGTACCACTGCTTTTTTTCCACAGTTCAAGCCTGGCCTTGCAGGCTCCCATTCTGAAGTCAGTCTTCTTTTGGCCCATGAGCCCTCACTTCACTTGTATGCTGGACAAGATTCTTGCTGAAAGCTTGAGCTCACTGTCTCAAGAAGGAAGCTGGAGGTACAATCTTCTAAGAAGCAGGCCCAGGCCTCTGCCATTGATTTCTTATAGGCATATAGACTAGGGAGGGACTTTGTTGCATTTAGGATTATATTTTTAATTTAGAGACGGCGCTGAGCAGAGTATCACAAGATACTGCACCAACCCAGAAGTAGCTTCAGGATACACTGTGGGTATGTCTACACTATGAAATTCGTTTGAATTTATAGAAGTCGGTTTTTTAGAAATCGTTTATAGTCAATTGTGTGTGACCCCACAGAAAATGCTCTAAGTGCATTAAGTGCATTAACTCGGCGGAGTGCTTCCACAGTACCGAGGCTAGCGTCAACTTCTGGAGTGTTGCACTGTGGGTAGCTATCCCACAGTTCCTGCAGTCTCCGCTGCCCATTGGAATTCTGGGTTGAGATCCCAATGCCTGATGGGGCAAAAAACATTGTCGCGGGTGGTTCTGGGTACGTCATCAAGCCCTCCCTCCCTCCCTCTGTGAAAGCAACGGCAGACAAACGTTTCGCGCCTTTTTTCCTGAGTTACCTGTGCAGACTCCATACCACAGCAAGCATGGAGCCCGCTCAGCTCACTGTCACTGTATGTCTCCTGGGTGCTGGCAGACATGGTACTGCATTGCTACACCGCAGCAGCAACTCATTGCCTTGTGGCAGCAGACGGTGCAGTAGGCTTGAAAACCATCCTCATCATGTACGAGGCGTTCCTGGCCGCCTCGGTAAGGTCGGTCAGGAGCACCTGGGCAGACATGGGCGCAGGGACTGAAATAGGAGTGACTCGACCAGGTCATTCTCTTTAGTTCTGCAGGCAGTCCTATTGCACCATCTTCTGCCGAGCAGCCAGGAGATGAGGATGGTTTGCAGTCCTACTGCATCGTCTGCTGCCAGCCAAAGATGTAAAAGATAAATGGAGTGGATCAAAACAAGAAATAGACCAGATTTGTTTTGCATTCATTTGCTCCTCCCTCCCTCCGTGAAATCAACGGCGGACAATCATTTTGGTGAGGTCTGTCAGGGGCACCTTGAAAACTTTAATGGAGATTCAGTCCTGCCTGAAATACCAGAGGGAGGAATAGCTTAGTGGGTTGAGCATTGGCCTGCTAAACCCAGGGTTTTGAGTTCAATCCTTGAGGGGGCCATTCTGGGTGACAGTTGTTTTTGTTTCTCCTTGATGTAAAGCCACCCCCTTTGTTGATTTTAATTCCCTGTAAGACAACCCTGTAAGCCATGTCGTCAGTCGTCCCTCCCTCCATGAGATCAATGGCAGACAATCATTCCACGCCTTTTTTCTGTGCAGACACCATACCACGGCAAGCATGGAGCCCACTCAGATCACTTTGGCAATTAGGAGTACATTAAACACCACATGCAGCAGCATATGCAGCACCAGAACCTGGCAAAGCAAAATCGGGTGAGTAGGCAACATCAGCGCGGTGACGAGAGTGATGAGGACATGGACACAGACTTCTCTCAAAGCACAGGCCCTGGCAATGCAGGCATCATGGTGCTAATGGGGCAGGTTCATGTGGTGGAACACTGATTCTGGGCCCAGGAAACAAGCACAGACTGGTGGGACCGCATAGTGTTGCAGGTCTGGGATGATTCCCAGTGGCTGCGAAACTTTCGCATGCATAAGGGCACTTTCATGGAACTTAGTGACTTCCTTTCCCCTGCCCTGAAGGGCATAAATACCAAGATGAGAGCAGCCCTCGCAGCTGAGAAGCGAGTGGCAATAGCCCTGTGGAAGCTTGCAACGCCAGACAGCTACCGGTCAGTCGGGAATCAATTTGGAGTGGGCAAATCTACTGTGGGGGCTGCTGTGATGCAAGTAGCCCACGCAATCAAAGATCTGCTGATATCAAGGGTAGTGACCCTGGGAAATGTGCAGGTCACAGTGGATGGCTTTGCTGCAATGGGATTCCCTAACTGTGGTGGGGCTATAGACGGAACCCATGTCCCTATCTTGGCACCGGAGCACCAAGCCGCCGAGTACATAAACCGCAAGGGTTACTTTTCAATAGTGCTGCAAGCACTGGTGGATCACAAGGGACGTTTCACCAACATCAATGTGGGATGGCCGGGAAAGGTACGTGACGCTCGCATCTTCAGGAACTCTAGTCTGTTTCAAAAGCTGCAGGAAGGGACTTTATTCCCAGACCAGAAAATAACCGTTGGGGATGTTGAAATGCCTATAGTTATCTGTGGGGACCCAGCCTACCCCTTCATGCCATGGCTCATGAAGCCATACACAGGCACCCTGGACAGTAGTCAAGAGCTGTTCAACTACAGGCTGAGCAAGTGCAGAATGGTGGTAGAATGTGCATTTGGACGTTTAAAAGCACGCTGGCGCAGTTTACTGACTCGCTTAGACCTCAGCGAAACCAATATTTCCACTGTTATTACTGCTTGTTGTGTGCTCCACAATATCTGTGAGAGTAAGGGGGAAGACATTTATGGCGGGGTGGGAGGTTGAGGTAAATCGCCTGGCCGCTGATTACGCGCAGCCAGACACCAGGGCGGTTAGAAGAGCACAGGAGGGCGCGGTGCGCATCAGAGAAGCTTTGAAAACCAGTTTCATGACTGGCCAGGCTAAAGTGTGAAAGTTCTGTTTGGTTCTCCTTGATGAAAACCCCCGCCCCTTGGTTCACTCTACTTCCCTGTAAGCTAACCACCCTCCCCTCCTCCCTTCGATCACCTCTTCCAGAGGCAATAGAATCATAGAATCACAGAATATCAGGGTTGGAAGGGACCTCAGGAGGTCATCTAGTCCAACCCCCTGCTCAAAAGCAGGACCCATACCCAATTAAATCATCCCAGCCAGGGCTTTGTCAAGCCTGACCTTAAAAACTTCTAAGGAAGGAGATTCCACCACCTCCCTAGGCAACGCATTCCAGTGTTTCACCACCCTCCTAGTGAAAAAGTTTTTCCTAATATCCAACCTAAACCTCCCCCACTGCAACTTGAGACCATTACTCCTTGTCCTGTCCTCTTCCACCACTGAGAATAGTCTAGAACCATCCTCTCTGGAACTACCTCTCAGGTAGTTGAAAGCAGCTATCAAATCCCCCCTCATTCTTCTCTTCTGCAGACTAAACAATCCCAGTTCCCTCAGCCTCTCCTCATAACTCATGTGTTCCAGACCCCTAATCATTTTTGTTGCCCTTCGCTGGACTCTCTCCAATTTATCCACATCCTTCTTGTAGTGTGGGGCCCAAAACTGGACACAGTACTCCAGATGAGGCCTCACCAATGTCGAATAGAGGGGGATGATCACGTCCCTCGATCTGCTCGCTATGCCCCTACTTATACATCCCAAAATGCCATTGGCCTTCTTGGCAACAAGGGCACACTACTGGCTCATATCCAGCTTCTCGTCCACTGTCACCCCTAGGTCCTTTTCTGCAGAACTGTTGCCTAGCCATTTGGTCCCTAGTCTGTAGCTGTGCATTGGGTTCTTACGTCCTAAGTGCAGGACCCTGCACTTATCCTTCTTGAACCTCATCAGATTTCTTTTGGCCCAATCCTCCAATTTGTCTAGGTCCCTCTGTATCCTATCCCTGCCCTCCAGCCTATCTACCACTCCTCCCAGTTTAGTGTCATCCGCAAACTTGCTGAGGGTGCAATCCACACCATCCTCCAGATCATTAATGAAGATATTGAACAAAACCGGCCCCAGGACCGACCCCTGGGGCAGTCCACTTGACACCGGCTGCCAACTAGACATGGAGCCATTGATCACTACCTGTTGAGCCCGACAATCTAGCCAACTTTCTACCCACCTTATAGTGCATTCATCCAGCCCATACTTCCTTAACTTGCTGACAAGAATACTGTGGGAGACCGTGTCAAAAACTTTGCTAAAGTCAAGATACAATACATCCACTGCTTTCCCTTCATCCACAGAACCAGTAATCTCATCATAGAAGGCGATTAGATTAGTCAGGCATGACCTTCCCTTGTTGCTTCAAATTCATGCATTCTTTATTAATTCATCACACAAATAGGAGGATAACTTCCAAGGTAGCCCGGGAGGGGTGGTGGAGGAGGGAAGGACAACGCCACACAGCACTTTAAAAGTTTTAAACTTTAAAACTTATTGAATGCCAGCCTTCTGTTGCTTGGGCAATCCTCTGGGGTGGAGTGGCTGGGTGGCCAGAGGCCCCCCCCACTGCGTTCTTGGGTGTCTGGGTGAGGAGGCTAAGGAACTTGGGGAGGAGGGCAGTGGTTACACAGGGGCTGTAGCAGCAGTCTGTGCTCCAGCTGCCTTTCCTGCAGCTCAACCATATGCTGGAGCATATTAGTTTGATCCTCCAGCAGCCTCAGCATTGAATCCTGCCTCCTCTCATCACGCTACTGCCACCTTTCAGCTTCAGCCCTCTCTTCAGCCTGCCACCTCTCCTCCCGGTCATTTTGTGCTTTCCTGCACTCTGACATTGTCTGCCTCCATGCATTCGTCTGTGCTCTGTCAGCGTGGGAGGACAACATGAGCTCAGAGAACATTTCATCACGAGTGCATTTTTTTCACCTTCTAATCTTCACTAGCCTCTGGGAAGGAGAAGATCCTGTGATCCTTAATACACATGCAGGTGGTGGAGGAGAAAAAAAGGGACAGTGGTATTTAAACGGACACATTTTATAGAACAATGGGTACACTCTTTCACGGTAAACCTTGCTGTTAACATTACATACATATCACATGTGCTTTCGTTCCAAGGTCGCATTTTGCCTCCCCCCACCACATGGCTAGCCCCTCCCCCCTTTATGTGGCTAACAGCGGGGAACATTTCTGTTCAGCCACAGGCAAACAGCCCAGCAGGAACGGGCACCTCTGAATGTCCACTTAAGAAAAGCACCCTATTTCAACCAGGAGACCATGAATGATATCACTCTCCTGAGGATAACACAGTGAGATAAAGAACGGATGTTGTTTGAATGCCAGCAAACATTCACTGCAATGCTTTGTTCTACAATGATTCCCAAGTACATGCTACTGGCCTGGAGTGGTAAAGTGTCCTACCATGAAGGACGCAATAAGGCTGCCCTCCCCAGAAACCTTTTGCAAAGGCTTTGGGAGTACATCCAGGAGAGCCGCAAATGCCAGGGCAAATTAATCATTAAACATGCTTGCTTTTAAACCATGTACAGTATTTTAAAAGGTACACTCACCAGAGGTTCCTTCTCCACCTGGCGGGTCCAGGAGGCAGCCTTGGGTGGGTTCGGGGGGTATTGGTTCCAGGTCCAGGGTGAGAAACAGTTCCTGGCTGTCGGGAAAACCAGTTTCTCTGCTTGCTTGCTGTGAGCTATCTACAACCTCATCATCATCATCTTCTTCATCCCCAAAACCTGCTTCCGTGTTGCCTCCATCTCCATTGAAGGACTCAAACAACACGGCTGGGGTAGTGGTGGCTGAACCCCCTAAAATGGCATGCAGCTCATCATAGAAGCGGCATGTTTGGGGCTCTGGCCTGGAGCGGCCGTTTGCCTCTCTGGTTTTCTGGTAGGCTTGCCTCAGCTCCTTAAGTTTCATGCGGCACTGCTTCAGGTCCCTGTTATGGCCTCTGTCCTTCATGACCTGGGAGATTTTGACAAATGTTTTGACATTTCGAAAACTGGAACGGAGTTCTGATACCATGGATTCCTCTCCCCATACAGTGATCTGATCCCGTACCTCCCGTTCAGTCCATGCTGGAGCTCTTTTGCGATTCTGGGACTCCATCATGGTCATCTCTGCTGATGAGCTCTGCACTCACCTGCAGCTTGCCATGCTGGCCAAACAGGAAATTGAAATTCAAAAGTTTGCGGGCCTTTTCCTGTCTACCTGGCCAGTGCATCTGAGTTGAGAGTGCTGTCCAGAGCAGTCACAATGGAGCACTCTGGGATAGCTCTTGGGGGCCAATACCGTCTAACTGCATCCACAGTACCTCAAATTCGACCGGGCAAGGCCGATTTCAGCGCTAATCCCCTTGTTGGGGGTGGAGTAAGGACATCAATTTTAAGAGCCCTTTACATCAAAAAAAAGGGCTTCATCATGTCGACGGCTGCAGGGTTAAATCCATTTAACACTGCTAAATTTGACCTCAACTCCTAGTGTAGCCCAGGGCTGTGACTGAGGTTAACCTGAGTCACATTTTCTCCCCTCCTTCCACATGCCCCAATGGGGAGGGGATTGGACGGCAGCAGGAAATTACAACAGTCCTTGTGCTAAATGATTTCCTGAATAATGGGCCAGATTGAAAACTGCAGGCAGTAAGAAAGCAAAGTGTATGCTCTCTCTCAATGTAATCTTGTAAAAGACACTCCGATACCAAGCTGACAAATGTCCTATATTTCTTATAACAATAACACTAAAAGATCTGCATATGCATTAATCCCAACAGTAGCCAATAGTATAGTTTGCTATGCCATCTATATCTTGCTCTTTCTTCAGACATGTACAATGGTCTCCATAAATAAAATCACCCCCTTTTTTGTTGTACAATTTTTATTGTATAAAATCTAATGCCCAGATCAAATCATCTTTATTTAAACACTAACCACTAAAGTTTTGAAACAATGTAATGTTATAGTTTATTTCCTGTAATTCACAAGTCAGCATGCACTAAAAATAATAATAAAAAAAAATCTACAGTTGAGGTTTGCAATTCACATTTCATTTCCAAAAAACAGGTCTTGAAATTCCAAAGCACGAGAATTTTCTAGCACTAGTACAGAAAGCTCTCACTCTAAAGGCTAGAGAATACACCACACTGAAAATTAAAGTAGCATATCTTCTGCACACTAAATTCTTTGACACACATGGGCTCCCCAAAAGTAGAATTCTGGACAACCCAGTTCTTACGTTCCTTATTCCTGGAATCTACTCTCCTCTATATACATGCATTTTAGCTCCCATTAATGTCCTGTGAATACCAGAAAATTAGATTATATGTTCATTTTAAACGTTCAGCGGCATTGAACCAAATTAATCTCTTGTTTGAATCACCAATGTCAAGGGAGTCAGAATGAATACGGTCCAGATTACTAGTTAGATTTTTCAGGTCTGCTGCATCTTTTTACGAATTTCTTCCAGTGCTGCCTCTCGTTCTCTTAATAGCCGTTTCAGTCGTTTTATTTTTTCATCCCTGATTGTTTCATCCAAGTCTGGTGGAGTCAAAGGGAAAGCATCTTCTCGAAAGGAACTTTCACTAGTCGAAACATCATCTTCAGAAAAAACTAAAGCTGAACAGCAGGTGTCTTGAACTTGGTTATCTTGAACACATGGGTCTTGCTCAGAGTTCCTCCCTAGAGAAGATCCGATAGAGCCTGTGGAATTTTTCTGCTGTGATAAGACTGGTGTGGATGAAATACGCTTGTTAAGTATTACAGAACCGGTGCTGTTGTTTTCCACGCTTGGATTTATGGCTGATTTGACCGTCATTTTCCTTCTCTTTCCATTTTCTGGCACTGGTGAGAGTTTTGCTTTTCTTTTTTTAGTCAAATCCTGTTCCAGGTCCAAAATTATCTGTATATCAAGAAAAAAAAAGTGTTTACATTAAATTGTATATCATTTCAAAGGTTTTGTCATCAAGGTAAATTAAGCACATACTAACAACTGTTTGTTGTAGTTATCTAAGGTTACTGTGCTGAAATAATTTTAAAGACTGTTTGATGCAATATGCTCCAAAGTTAAGGTTACCCTTTAGCAAATAAATATTAAAAAGTATGTAAACCGGCAGTGACAAGGTCGGAGCAGATGGCTACAGGAGAGTGATAGAAGGCAGCTACATTAGCCCCAGATTAAGCAGTTCCCTTTCCCCTGGGTAAGGTAACAGGGGCAGTTCCAGAACAATCAGGAACTTGCTGGAACCAATTAAGGCAAGCAGGCTAATCAGGACACCTAGAGCCAATTAAGAAGCTGCTAGAATCAATTAAGACAGGCAGGCTAATCAGGGCACCTAGTTTAAAAAGGACCTCACTTCAGTCAGGAGGGGTGCGCAAGGAGCTGAGAGTGAGAGGGCGTGCTGCTAGAGGACTGAGGGGTACAAATGTTATCTGGCATCAGGAGGAAGGTCCTGTGGTGAGGATAAAGAAGGTGTTGGAGGAGTCCATTGGGGAAGTAGCCCAGGGAGTTGTAGCTGTCACACAGGTGTTACACGAAACACTGTAGACAGCTGTGATCCAGAGGGCCCTGGGCTGGGACCCGGAGTAGAGGGCGGGCCTGGGTTCCTCTCATAACCCCCACTCCCCACTGGATACAAGAGGAGTTGACCTGGACTGTGGGTCCCATCTGAGGGGAAAGTCTCTGGCCTGTCCCCCCGACCCACTAGGTGGATCAGCAGAGACTGCGGGGATTGTTCTCCTCCTTTTTCCCCATGCTGGTCAGTGATGAGGTTAGCTGAGTGAACAGCGGCTTTGAGCCACAAGCAAAAGTGACCAAACTGAGGGCTGCCGTGAATCTCTGAGGCAAGCAAATCTGCCAATAAGCGCAGGACCCACCAAAGCAGAGGAAGAACTTTGTCACACTGCAATTAATTAAATGTTACCACTGTGTGTAATTCACTGCTCATCATCCAGTATTCATACCTGAATGGGGCAGGGGTCCTGTCAAATTACTGGTTTGTAATCACGTCATTAAAGACTGTATTATAAGGAAGACCCACAAGGGGACAGAGTTCAGGTTTCATGGGTAAACTCAGCTTTGGTGTTTCCTGGATTTCAAGTGCTTTACTGTGATACCTTAACACATTTTTAATGGAATTTCCTATATTTTTTGAAGAAAGAAAACCCTCCCCAAGTTTCTACTTCCACTGGAGTCAATGGCAAAACTTCCATGGTCCACAATTAAGGACCTCAATGCACACAGAAAATCAGGGTTGGAAGGGACCTCAGGAGGTCATCTAGTCCAACCCCCTGCTCAAAGCAGGACCTATCCCCAACTAAATCATCCCAGCCAGGGCTTTGTCAAGCCTGACCTTAAAAATTTCTAAGGAAGGAGATTCCACCACCTCCCTAGGTAATGCATTCCAGCGTTTCACCACCCTCCTAGTGAAAAAGTTTTTCCTAATATCCAACCTAAACCTCCCCCACTGCAACTTGAGACCATTACTCCTCATTCTGTCATCTGCTACCACTGAGAACAGTCTAGATCCATCCTCTTTGGAACCCCCTTTCAGGTAGTTGAAAGCAGCTATCAAATCCCCCCTCATTCTTCTCTTCCCACAGACTAAACAATCCCATTTCCCTCAGCCTCTCCTCATAAGTCATGTGTTCCAGTCCCCTAATCATTTTTGTTGCCCTCCACGGGACGCTTTCCACATCTTAAGTTATCAATGGAGCTTCATCAAATGAGTGTGAATAGGACCACTTATGGACATTTTAACATTTGCGATAAAGCTTTCAGTATCAATGAAAGAGGCAACCAGAGTAGTTCTCCCAAATCCAGGGAGAATATATTTTTGGATCATCCTGTTGACCTATTTCCCTGTTAAACCATGATGTAAACATACCGACCAAGGTTTCAGCAACTATAACATGACATATATTACACACACACACACACACACGACAGGCTTCCTCCAAGACAGGACATCTAACAATGTTGGATGTGTGCTGGGAGCTACCCACTTTGCCTAATCAAAGGAGAATTCTTGGCTATCACAGAGTTGCCAGCCTTGCTCTGAGACTTTTAAAGATGTTTATGAAAAAAAATTGGGGAGGTTGCTTGGACCTCTCTCTTCCCCCTCCCCTCCTCTCCTCTATGGCCACTGAGGAGGCTCAACCAATGCACTCTTGTGTTCCCCTATCCCAAACAAAAAGAAGGGGAGGACCGACCCTAGGAAAGCTGCCCTCCTATCCTGCCTAGGGTCCTTAATTATCTTGGCCAGTCCTGGGCCTAGACCTCCCTGGGCAATGGAGAAGAATGCCCCCTGTGGCTGCAGCACTAATTGCTGTGTTCAAACCTGAGTGGTGGTGAGTGAGTCTCTCTCTCTCTCTTTCACACACACACACACTTTATATATGTAAAATGTGCAGGCTTGCAAAATCAGTAGATTGAAGCCTGAATTAGTAATTTAATAATTGCATTAAAAATCCAGATAATTACTGAAAATCAGGGAGAGCTGGCGTCTGATATTATTATTATATCATGAGAAAGCTTTTGATTGGGTAGTGTGGAAATATTTGGTGTCAGACTTTGAACAATATGGAGTTGGATACTGCCTTCTTAGATGCATAAAAGGACTCTTACTTCTATGCATCTTAATGATAATTCTACAATACAATAAAAGTTACTGTACCACTGCAATTATTTCTCAGAAGAAATAAGAGTGCCAGAACAACAGGGAAAAGCCAACAAAGCACTAGTCTTCAAAAGGCAAAGTAGTAGCAACTACTACTCCTTAGATCTAATTCCTATCCTTAATAAAATAATGGAACAAATACTGAAGGGGAGGGTGGTATTAATGAAAGATGACAGAAGCAAGAGCAACAAGCAGAATGGGTTTATAAAGAACAGATCTTTCCAGACAAACTTCATTGCTTTTTGTTCTTGTTTTTTAACTAGATGTACGAAATAAGTGAATGAAGGGACAAAGTAGATACATCACATCTGGATTTCAGTCAAACAGTTTCTGAAGAATTTAAGCTTTCATTTAAAATTAAGTTTCTAGCTCTTGTGGTTGTGAAGATATTGTCCTGCACTTGAGGAACACAGCTTGATCTTCCCTAATCTGCAGATTGTGTGATGCTTTAGCAAAAAGGGCTAACATTTTAATTGGGGTACAGACAGAGGAACATCAAGAAGGAGGAGGGAGATGTATATGGCATTGGTAAGGCAACTACTGGAATAGTGTGTCTAGTTCAGGGACTCACACTTTAAAAAAAAAGAAGTTGAAAACTGGAGAGGATTTACAGAAGAGCAGCAGAATAATGGGAGATGTGGAAAATAAGCCTTACAATGAGACTAAAATAAACTCAACTATTTTTCTTATTGATGGAAAGGTTAAGAAGCAACTTGATCATGCTCTATAGTTACCCACACAGGGAGAAAATATTTGATGTCAGAGGGCTCTTTAATCTAATAAAGGCTTAAAATGATCCAGTTGATGGACGTTGAAGTCAACGAAGTTCAGACTGGAAACAAGATGCAAATTTTGAACAGTGAGTAACTGAACATTGAACAGGTTACCAAGGAATATGGTAAATTCTCCATCACTTGAAATGTTTACATCAAGACCAGAGATAAAATAGTCAAAAGCGCCTACGAGACTTAGAAGCCTAAATCCTGTTTATTTCAAGTGAAACTTAGGCTCCTAAAGAGCCAGATGTACAAAGGAAATGAAGCGCCTAGAGATACAGAAGGTGTCTAATGGGATTTGTAAAAGAGTCTATGGTTAGGTGTCTGACTCCTAT